TATGTACCTGATCCGTACAACTTTGATCCCCCATTGCCAGCAAGGGAACGACGTGATAGCCAGCAACAGGAAAGCCAGGAGTCCCAAGTCCAGTACGAACTACATTATGCAGATAAGAACTATTTGTGCAACTTGCATTTTCTGGGGTGACCAGAACTATAGAAAGTACAAACATAGCACCAAGGGAGTCCAGGCTGGCAGGAAGAATGTGAAGACCTAACCTCTCAGGTGGACCTCAGAACGGCGTGCTGATACTTCATTAGGAAACCTACCTTCTTCAGGGTTAGGTCTCCTGAACAAGGCAGGTCTCCTAGTGAAACGTTGGCACGCCACTCTCACATCTGCCTCAAGCTCCCTTTTCACATAAGCATAGAAGATAATTTTTCAACTGAAATGTATCCTCTTTCAGATGCACATGTGGAAATTGCCCCCAGGAGGTCGGGCAATGCTGCAGGGACGTGCCAAAAATCACACAAAAAAACTTGGGAAGGTGTGTCACAGAAAATGAACTTTTTCTGCTCGTATGTCTGGATGTGCGACTGCTGAACATAGCGTACGACCAGCTGAAATTTTTTCGCCCAACATATTTGGAGCCAGCAGCTCGGGATCGGAACAAGTAAGACCAGAACTTTTATAGCATATCAAATATAAATGCACTACACTGTAAGACAGTCTGTAAATCCCGCTTAGTGTATTGGCGACTCCAACAAAATCTATCGACGCTGCGTAGCGGCACCGCCGAGAAGCTCCAGAGAGGAGGTCATTTTGATTCTGTCTTCTGCTATCACAGCTTGGTTCTTGTAGGCAGCATAGAAACAAACACTGTTTCCAGTGATTATTTTTATGCTTCTGCCATGTCATTCCCATGCATTGATTAGAAGGTTTCTACTGTCGAAAAATCGTTTTGCTTTCTTATGTAACACATATGTTATGCTGCAATGCAAGATATTTATGGTGGTCCGCGTGCTGAACGATGAAAACGACGTCCTTTTGTCCGCCATTTTGCCTGACCAGCACACCCCCTAGACTAAGCTGGAGTCGCGAATATTGCAAACGTTAGTTGTGCTCATGGTACCTTGGATCGAAGAAGGCACATAGCCAGGTGTTTGTTTTGGGGGAGGGGGGAATATTGAATTACCTAAATTGTTGTGTCTACGTGTAGGTTGAGCCGAAGAAGACAATGAATAAGAATGAACGAACTGAGCTCTGAATGGGAACAGCTTGCCTTCTGTTAAACTTGCATAGACAGTCCCTATACATAACAATTGTCACAATCGACAGCTTCAACTCGATTATAAAGGTTGATTCACCCGTCTTTCCTACCATACCCAGGCGAGCCTGCGATTTCATGGAGGAATGGTACGCCAGTACACGATCCCTTCCAATGGGTCGACAATAGATAATGGCAGAACTGCCATTCTATTTAGCTCACTTGAAGCTGAGAGTCAGCGGACCTACTGCAAACTGCCGGAAGATTCTGCCTTGTCCACTGCTACCACTCATCTAAGTGCAAGTACTGCAGGAGCTACCTCCGAATCGCGCAGACCTGCATCGCCCATTTCCACAGCCTATGATGCAGTGGCAAGAGAGTTACAAAAATTCTTGACAGTAAAACATTGGAAAGATTTATTTTTCGTTGCACACGTGGATGACCGGCCAAAACAGTACAAGAGTGTGTCACGTTCTCCGGGGCCTTGCGACAAACTGCTGGTTTGGGACAATAACAGATGAAATAATCTGCAATCAACTTGTCAATAAGACAATTCATGCCGAAGTATGAAACCGCCCACTACTAGAGCTTGAGCTACCACTCGAATCAGCTCTTGCCATCACCTAAAAAGTTCAGCGGGCGATGAAGGAGGCCAAAGTTTTTACCAAAGATGCGGGACTCAGTTTTCAAGTGGCAAAGATTCAAGCCCAAAAGAAACCAATAGTTAGGGGCAAAACACCCAATCAAAGGTCGTCCAGCATTTACTGCAGATCTGGTTCAATGTGCCACATGGCAGACTACCCTAAACGTCCTGCAAGGAATCAAGCATGCAGAAAATGAAAGATTGGACATTTTGCCTTTGTTTGCAAGCAAACAGTTTTGACAGGATCACAAGTACCAAGCATAGAACAAACTGAAATATAGCAACTCGGATATTAGCAAACTGTACCACATGCAGGATACTTGCGTTCCTTTTTATCAAACTCCTAGTAGACACAAGACCCTCGGTTTCAATCCTTCTGGAAAGCGTCTACAGAAGATGCTTCCATTCTTGTAAGTTGCAACCTACAAGTACTGCATTCATTGGCTACTCCGTAAGAAAACATTGCTATTCCAAACATTTTGGAAAAAGCCAGCTCACCAGTACAGTTGGCACAAAGTAATGGCGATTGCACATTCCACGTCGTCCGAACAAGACAGCCGTAATGGGACTATAAATGCTTTACAAGGGTTGGAAATTCAACTGGACTTTTCATCTCCTGCGGATGACAGGTGACTATCATTTCGGCAAACGACCTTCCAGAGGCCGTCAAAGGTTTCCTCCAGCTGTTCTCAGGTATGGGCCACGCCATTGGGTATGTTCACAAGGTGAAGACGAAATGTCCATCAGTCTGGTGCAACAGAATCTATGAAGGATAACTTTTGCAGTGCATGACAAAGTTCCTGTAGAGCCGGCAAAGTTGGAGCACTCCTGGGTGATCGAGCGCAATAATGCATCACAGACCACTTCCGCAAATCAAACACCTCTGTTGTTCTCAATTCACGTCCTCTTCTGTGTCCAAACGAGCTCCTTCACCAGCTTTCTGGCACCCACATCTTCAACCAGTGGGACCTCTCGTCAGCGTACCACTAGCTGAACCTGATAGAGGAGAGCGGGGACCTCATTGCGTTCGTGACTCATGAAAGTCTCTTCCTGTTCACAGTATGTTTTGGGCTGGCTTCCACTGCTCCGGCTTTTCAAAATATAAAGAACTGTATTCTTTGGGACACAACAGGCACCATTGTCAATCTATCCAGGATGATGTGCTCAACTTCAGTTGCACAACTGAAGAGCATGATGCCCGCCTAAGACAAGGCTTACCCCGCCTACAGGACGCAGGTTGGAAACCGAACAAAAACAAATGCATTTTTCAGTGCAGCAACTTCAATTTCTTGGACATAAGTTGACACCTCAGGGAATTAAGCCATGCCATGATAATGTTCAAGCCACCATGCAAGCTTCTACTCAAAGAGACATGACATCATAACCGGTCTTTGCTTGACCTGCTTACATACCGTTTCAAATTCATACCTAACTTTGCAACCATCGTGAGGCCCTTGCATGTGCATCTGCGGAAAGATGTCCCCTTATAATGGCAAAAAGCACAAGAGGTGGCATTTGCATCAGTCAAAACACGATTCGAAACTGTTCCATTTAGTTTTCGACGTGACACTGCCTGCTATCGTCACAGGTTGGAGAGAAATTTACTTGTCAGTTTTTTTTTAATTCTCCAGTTAGAATTCTACAATCGTCAGAAAGATTCATCGAATTATGGATTAGGCACAGTGCTACAGCAAAACATCCAGATGGAATTCGCACTATCCTGTTCACATCGCGATTGCTTTCCAGCGCCCAGTGCAACCGCTCTGCAGAGTTAGAGGAATAGGCGTGCCTCTGGGCCTGCGAGAAGCATCATGTTTTCCTCTTCGGTCACCATTTCATGCTCAGGATGGACCACCAGGCTCTGGTTACACTACTCTGTATTTAGGGAAACGGTCGACAACCGATAACAATTGCCGGGTGGCCATGCGTCTCCTCAAGATCACCAAAAGGGCAATGAGAATGTTGTGGCAGTCGAGCTTTCTCGTCTTCCTGCATTTAATTCCTCAGATTGCACGAAGTCATACGTCGAAAAAAGAAAATTCACTTGCCCTGTGTGCAGTCTCTGCTGAATTCACCAAGAAGAGGTACAGAAAGAGAAAGAACAAAACCCCGATTTACCTCGGGTGATAGTGTGTCAACATGGGTTGGGGTCAACATGGGAATCAGCACCGTCTCCCACTACAAGATACGAAAAGAACTTTCCTCTGTATATGGCTTACTGCTATACGCAAAACTGCTGGTTCCTTCTGCTTCACTCAGACGAATGGTGTGAACCAAAATACAACTATGTGAATGCTTCTGTGGTGGCCCAGAATGGATAGCGAAGCCAATACTTGTCCAAATACTGTCACGCATGTCAGACAACCGACAAGTAAGCAGCGAAAGAAGGATCACCTCTACAACCAGTGCTTTTTCCAATAAGCGCATGGAAACAGCTTGGAACAGACACTGTGGAACTATTCTACAAACTTCTCTCACCATTACCGTTTTGCAACAAACTAGTTCAGTAAGTAGCCTGGGGTTGCTTTCTGTAGTCAAGTGACAGCAGAGATTGTCTGCGACTTCCTAATAACAACATTGAGGTGAGAGGGACATCCAAACATTACTGCCTTGGACCATGGCTTACAGGTCAGGTCCCGCACAACCTGAGAGTTCCTCAGGTCGAGGGACTTCTCATCATCAGTCTGCAATTTGCAGTCCACAGGCGAATAAACGAGTTAAAAGATTTAATTGAATTTTAAAATTGTCTGTCCAGTCAATCACTCAAGAACGAGGAAACACCCATACAGGCAGTAGTGAATTTCTTCTCTATAAAAGCACACCAGAAGCAGCGGCAAAGGTTTTCACGCATGAAATTTCTAGAAATGTCTAGATATCATGGGCTTTCCAGGTTTCGAAAAGCCTTTTCCTATAGAGATGCGGCAAAAGGGTCCCCAAGTTCACAGTAAAAGTGTAGCAGATGAAGTCTTTCTAAGACTCTTACCAATTTTTCTGTTACTTTCTCAGACGGTACAGGTACACGGCATACAGCCAGTTCGTCTGGTGGATTTGGGGACGACTGGGCAGGTTTCGCCGCGTCAGGCTCCCGTGCTGTGTGGTGGCCAGGATAAGAAAAGAATTCCCATCGACCACATACACGGGCTTCCACTATGCTTGATCGAACCGGGTCCTGTGGGCCAACACCGCTGCTTCCTTGTCTGGCCTTTGTGCAACGCTGCACAGAGGTGGTCGACGAGGACGTGGCCCGTTCGCAGCCACAGCCAGCTGGTAGGTCCGGGAAGCCTTGGCCAACTCCAGGCAGGAATTGAGGAGCCTCTGGACGTAGTCTGAGTAAGAAAGTGTGATAGTCAAGCTGCAGCCAATGTCTGAATAAAAGTGTCTGTATTTACCGTACGACGCAGTCTCCATGATGGGGCTGAGGACCCATTCGCCTTTCCGTGACTTGGGAAACTTCAGACAACTTCGCTTTTTGTCGTCCTTCGTTGTGGCCTGCGCACGGTTGCTGTTCTCATTGTAGTGGAGCACCGCGACGGCAGTCCTGTGAGGGCCGCATATAAGGGGAGGAAAGACTGTAAACATGCCCCAAGCATATTTCATATTAGAACTTTTCAGAAATTTTCATACTGCACAACACATGCTAGTAACCGTATCCACACTGGCAGGCAACCTGTCGTATGCTAGCAGACCATCCTCGGGAACATGGCCCTGCATCGTTTCACACACTAGCAACCCATCGTATTCTCATTGATTGACTCACTATTATTGTGATCAAAATTAAGTCGACACTTCTCATTTACTGTAAACGACTTATTTTTCGCGGTCTCAATATTTCTTGATTTTGGTCGAAGCTCAAGCTTCGACCAAAATTCGCAGGTTCTAAGTTTTGCGACACAATGGGATCTCAATGTAGATTCTTATGTGCTTACATTCTACCAAAATTGTTTGCGGGACATATTTTTCGCAAATTGTAGGCGATTCACAAAAATTAGGCCTTCGCGAAAATTAAGTCGTTTACAGTTCAAGATGCGCTGCAATTTGCCACCATTGTGCGGACACAAGTATGTGTGAAAAATGGCTTCCCTTCGACTTACGGTAACAATGAGAAGCTCGTTAAAGACGAGGGAGATAAAGATTGTACAAATTGACGTAGGGCCTCGCTCCTAAAAACAGTATGTGCACTCGCTCATCTGCTAGTGTACATAAGTGCATCCCCAGAATTTTCTGCGTGAGTGGTGCACAGTAGAAATTTCAGAAAAGGCTCATAAATAAACAAATATCACTAGCATATATCAGGATGCCTGCTTACCGTGCCACCATGCCCTCAAAACTGAAATGACTGGATTTCGGAGTAAACCGGAGCAGCATGCTGTGGAACGACTCTAGGCGATAGGTCTGACCGTCTCCAGACACCCTTGGTATGTCCTTGAGTAGTTGCTTGGACATGACGATCTTTTCGAGAGCCACGTATGGCTCGGTCCCTGCGATAAGAGAAAGTATCGAAATAACCCTCAGGGTGTCTAGCAAGTTATTACAACTCTACAACGGTCCCTGACCATTGTAGAGGTGGTTAAATATATCAGATCATTACAACACAAGGCATTGAGCATTCAGAACTGTAACAGTACTTTCGCACGGGCTGAACCCAACTTGCATATTCCGAAATATTTGGGTTCGTCCTGTCCGGATTAAATGAGCACTTTCTTGCCCCCTGACATAGTCAGTGAAGAAGCCACTTCCAGAAACACAATAAAAACATGACGCTGAACCAGACATGTTAATAATTACGAATGGCAGCATGGCATAGCCGCCAGATGCACACTTTCGGATACTTTTGGCTTGGATTGTATTGGGGTCTGCAGCTTTCCCATTTGTTAATAATAATAAATCTAGTAGCTCTAACTGGATCTAGTCTAGTGTCGCGCCCTCAATCCAATCCAAGGCTTTTACTGGATTTGTCGGCGGTTCCCTTTGCATCGGGTATTACACTCTACATCAATTGAGCAGGGCCCGCGGGCTCCGCTCCAAGCAGAATTTATTACCTATTTTTCTGCCCACAGGTTTTCAAGTCTTTGCTCAGGGCACTCGATAGCGTTTCCGGCACATTTTCCCTGACTCGGCTCGCTCTTTGGCAATATCCCTGACAGTCCCCCGATTTTTCCTGGTAATTAAATTTCCCCTGACAATTCCCGGTTTTGCCGGTCTCTAGACACCCTGACCCTTGTAAGTGCTGAGTTTATATCGATAATGACTGAGCAGGTAAGCCAGAGCGCAGCCGAGTATACTCCTGGTGGCACCCAAAAGGTTAAACAGCAAAGCCAGTGCCCATTGCAGCCTGTCCACAAATCACTTTTTTGTGTTGTATACGTGATGCAACTGCCATTTTATTTTTTATCCATCTCTGCAGAAGCTAGATCTCTGCTCAGTAATTCTGCATAAATAATTTTCATATAATCTGCAATTTCCCTTTTTATGCGTCTTTTGCATGTTACAAGTCGGTCTTCACTTCCTCATTCTGTGTCTTTTCATGACCTCAAAAGTGGAGTGTTTTTCTTGAAATATAAGGCTAGAAACATGCAGTTTAAGCCTCTTGATGTAATTGAAATGTCCGCTCAGTACTATGAGCTGGATATGAGATGGAGTCCTCCCATCGGCAGGTCTAGAAGGGGGGGGGGGTTGGGATATCCTGACCCTCCTTTTGAATTCCGCAGGTGTGAAATGCAGAGCGGAAAAGGGGGGGGGAGCATACGAGTTATCCGAAACACAATCTGGTATGCTGATCCCCCATCTGGAAACACTTGCATTCATCTCCAATTCCTCCTTGTGCTATTTGATTGTAGACTGGCCAGAGCAGCCAAAGGAAGTCTGTCCTTGTTATGAAAGCTTCGCCGACAACTGGAGTGAAAAGAATGTTATGAATGTTTAAAGAATGAATCTTTTTTACCTTCCTGAAGCCACCAGCGCTCTTCGATTGGGCCATGGGTGCACGCAGGGTACAGGGGGCTGGGGTGCTGATGGACGTTGCTCACGTGTCGCATTACGGACACCCATTTTGCGAGCACCAGCGCGCCATTGTCACTGCTGGTCTGTGCACACCAGTAGACGTGTCCACGTACAGTCTTCACCCATGCATTCAAGATGCTGTTCTTCTTTGTCTTGCCTGCAGAGGCCATCTTGCTCCCAATGCCTATAAATTAGAAAGCCTCCATGATTATTAGCTCAGCACCAGTCTAGTTTGGAAAACAAGTTTTGATATTAGATACACTAAATATATGAAGCTATAGTAAAATTGCATCTAGATACTGGTGCAGCATGGACAACATCATCAACTTTAGTATACCATATGACGTTTGAATAATGCCACGTGTATCTTGACAACAAAGCATGTTGCACTATAGTTCATTGCGCCAGCAATCATTAACTCAATCGTGATCGGGCGGTGTTACACAGCAGTGCCATCTACCATCAAGCCGCTAACGATCATTGAATTCAACTGAGCTCGCCTACCTCAGTTAACTGATGGGGGTTCACCCCAACAGAGCTAAAGATGGCAGCATTCACCACTGATAGCCAGTGCTAGCGAAGCATTTACTATTGCAGAAGAAGGTATCTATTATCAGAAGAGGTATGATACGAAGTCAGAGCTACCACTAAAACTATTGCGAAACGTCGAGGAAGTGCGGCCATTGTGATGTCGGTGGCAGTAAGACTTTCGTTGTCACTCTTGCTTTAAATTTCTGTGAAATATTCCAATTTTCGTTTTCTTTGTTCTCAAAATAAACTAAAATCTATCACTCTGAACGACTTATTTTTTACAGGCTCAATATTTTACGATTTAGGTCAAAGCTGAATTTTTGGAATAATTTGTGGGTTTTCATTTTTGCGACATGGTGGGATCTCAATATGGGCGATTCGTGAAATTTAAGTTGTTTACAGTATATGTCAAGTTAAACTTTTTTTTGTGTGTGTTTTGTGAAACATGTTACACACAATTATCCTCAATACTTTTTTTTCTATCATGTGGGTCACGTGACGTGCATCAGAACTCGGGTTATTAGGCCCATGTACCGCGTAGCACCAGGCAACTTAGTTGAGCTCAGTGAGATGTCCATGATCCTTGACTCAATGATTGTTAAAACGGCCCATGTACAGGGGTATTGGAGTTATCAATACTATTACCTTTTGCGACATGCCATGCGTCGAACCGGTGCTTCGTGTCGGGGTACCTATCTCTCATCAGGGCATTCACCCCAAAGTGCCGGTCGGTCACAAGAACATACACAGACAGCCCCATGCTCAGGAGGAAGTCCAGAGAACGTTTCAGGCCCTCCGTCTCCATGTGGTTGCTCGACTTGACTTCTGTCGACTAGGGTAGAAAAAGGTGCCGTAAAATGCATACCTGATCCATGTGATGCATTGAGGTCATCTTATATTTAGCCACTTCTTACCTGAAGAACCTCGTAGTGCATGATCTTGTTGATGCGGGTGTCAAGCAGTGTATATGTCCCATACTTGGCAGAGTAACCAGGCGAGTCAGCACGCCCATCGCCTGCAAGGTGGAGCTTGTCTTTCGTGGCTGTCAGGAGAGACTCCTGTTCAGCTTCCCAGGTCTTTGAAACAAGAAAACTCAGTGTCAGGCTCAATCAGTGAACATGTTTAATGAACGGACAATCTTGTTGTCACTTCTGCTCACCTTTGTAGCAGCAGGAAAGACCAAAGAGCTCTGCACCCGGAAGAACTGAGTCTTCTTCAAGACTTGCACGCCTATAGATCCCAGGAGGCGAAGAACGCGCGTTGGGCTGGCTCCAGAGTAGGTGATGGCAGCAGGCAGCAGGATGTTGAGGAGTGCCTTGCTGTTGATTCTGGGCTGGTTCTCCCACACAGTCTTGTGCCCTCGTGCACACGTGATGACGGCGTGCACAAGGGTCCCTCGATGTGTCAGCTTCGTCCGTGTCGGAGCCAGGCATTTGATGCAAACCGAAAACAGCAGCAGCAGCTGTGATGCAGTCACCAGGTACTTCCTCTCCTTTACCGGGTCCACTGCTGCTGAAGACGTGCTGCACCCTCCTTCACTGTTAAAAAAAGAAAAAGAATAAACCAAAAGATTATAGTGTGGAAATTTCAAAAACAGTTCTTTTTTAACGCTTCTAATTTTTTCTATTCTGCCATCATCTCTCACAGTTCTTTGCACAAAACCGGGATATCTAACAAGCTCCTCCTTTCATATTCATTGACCTTGCCAGGTTCTCCCAGACTATCTCTATTAAATTTCCTGGCCGTTATTTCAACCTGGTCCGAATAACCAAGTGTGATCGTCGTGCTTTTTATAAGATGTACTTCTAAGGCTCCTCCACTGCACCATAAACTGTATGTATGATAAAAAACACCCATGTAACCACCATACTAAAGTTTAATTTAGGAACTGGTAGTATAATAAATTAATTAATTATTCATTTAATTAGGTAATGGCTTGCACTATCGAATGATGTTTCAGGGAACATTATTGGGTGCAGCTGTGCCGATGTGCGACTGTAAAGCTTCGTTATTACTGCCGTGCCACTTCCATTTGTCATTTCTCCTGATATAGCCAACCTTTTGACTGTTTCCCTTATATTTGTCTAACTTTTGCAGGTGAAGAAAAGCCCCAGATAATTACAAGTTTTCCAGATTGGTAGACCTAGCTTAATCCTATTCATAAAATGGAGTTCTGGTTTCTGAAAAATTACAGTGGACACATACTCGACATCTGTTGCACCGTCCGAGTGCACAGAGTCGTTGGACCAGATGCTGGTGTCGGAATCCGGTTCATCATCGGAGTTGAAAGAGTTATCCGGCCTGTAACTCTCGTCCAACAGATCTGGCTCAGGGCAGATATCTTCATCGGAGTCCAGGAAGGCGGCCTCCGTGTAACTGGTGTCCGAAGGCGATGCCCCAGGTTCTGAGGGTTCGGGAGTGGCATCCCGCTCCAACGACAAGGGGCTTGGCGTCTTGTCCTCTGTAGGCGTAGAGCACCACTGGCGCAATTCTTGCTCAACGTCTGCAGAATTCTCTTGGGCTTGTTGGGGACTTCCGGGAACAGCTGGCTCGCTCCCCAAAGGGCTTTGGCCAACCATGCCTGGAAAAGATTGAATGCCAGAGCAAACATTATGGTGTCAAAACTGCTTAACATGCACAGTAACAGTGTGCATGACATGACTTGTGATGCAGTGCAGTTTTTACAATTGATGAGCAAAAATATATATCCGTCACTCTCACCCTTCCAAGTTTATTTTGACGCAATAAAAACATTAGGTCCCCACCTTTCTGCCATGCAACTGCAAATAGCCCAGGCTCAACGAAAGATGAGGGAAATGCATGAATGGCCACAGTCAAAGGTAGTGTTATGAACTGGTTGGAACCAGTTCATGCTTGGTAGCGGCAGTAACCAAACTAATATCTAGCAGGCATGCTGGAACCGAGACCAAACCACAACAAAACACAAAATCGGCGGTTCAACACCATGGTTATGATATAACGGTGGTTCTGTGTTTTCAAATAAAGCCGATGAAATCCAAAAACCATTTGCCTGTAAAACTTTTGTCAATTCGAATTCATCCGAAAAAAATAGGATTTTGAAGGTCACACCGACCGGGGAAAAGAAAAAAGCGTGCAATAAAGATCAGGTTGGATCAGTGCGAAGGGTCGTCGGTCCTGAGAAAGACGGTGGGTGTCTGGTTTTGCAGAGAACAAGGCAATGTATTTCTAGGTCACGGCAGAAATAAGGCTGTACGTCTAACGGTGCTAGCGGGTGTTCCAGTCTCAAGTTCAGACCATAGTCACCATGGACAGCATAGTTCCATCAGTGGGTGCGGGTAAAGTGACTTGAATGGGGGTGCGTGAAGCTGAAGTTGCTATACTACTATGTTGTTCAACCTGCGCTTTCACGGCACATTTCTGTGGCACCTGCAACAGCGAGGCGACATTTACTTTCATGCATATACAAACATGTGCACTTGTATTTATTACAGCAAGCTTGTAGTAAATACAAGCACACTTGCTTGTTTTGAAATGCATAGATGAGCTCATTGTAAATATTTCACACTATTAAAATTTGTTTTGATAGAAGAATGAAGTCCAAATAACACTTTCCAAATTTGACAAAAATAAACTCGGGGAAACACGGACATAATGCATCTATGTTATGTATACTATTAAAACTCTCGTCACAATTGTATTACATAGATAGCACTATATTCTTAAGCCACCACAGCTACTCACCGGAAGATGTTGGCAGTGCCGGATTTTCAGTCGAGGTCTGACAAAGCTCCTCGAAGGCTTGCACAGCTTTGTCCACAGACAGTGTCGGTGTACCTGGCACACCAAAAAACATTACATTTCAGATATAGACTCGAATAACATTGCACAAAGAGAGAGAGAGAGAGAGACTGATAAAGCTATTCTGTCATTACACGATAAGGTGAACCAAGTCACTACATACCTCTCGTTACCACACACATACAGATGTGGCAGATGGGCGGCTCCAAGTGCGGTTCAAAATGGCCATCAATTGCAGTAGTTGCTGGCACGGTGTCGCATAAAGCGGCGGTGCTGCTGTTGCACCCTGGCCCAGAAGTGGAAGCCTGGTCCCCGCTCTGTAAAAGCAGTGCGATAGTTACTACAACTGGTATACACCAACTCATGTTTACAAACAAACCGGAGCGCCCCTAGTGGACGCCACCGGCGCCGCGTATGCGCGATGGGGGTGTGGGCAAGAAGCTCACCGTCGCCCATAAACAAACCATTGAAATGCGATGTTGTCGTCGTCGGTGTAAGTTCCCGGGCTCTTTTTCGCGTTGGAATTGTTGATTCTACGTCCTCCTAACGATGTCCGACTACTTGAGCGGCGTCAGCGAAATTAACGAGGCTTGTTGCACCGCAAAACTTCGCGTGAATAATCTGACATGCGGCGATTCATTCCGCGTGGACGCCGCAGAATAGCTAGAGCCTGATTCACATGATGAGATTTCACTCGCAATTTTCAATAGCGACGTCGCTCGGACTGCAAAAGCGTGAACCGTAGCTGAGATGGTCGACGTCAATACTGAAAATCGCAAGCAGAATCTAACCAAGTGAATCAGGCCTAACAAGTCGGTGATGGCCACTGGTAACAATGATCAACATCTCCTCGTATCTACTGTTTACATCGAGCCTGCTTACCAACCTTCAAACTTAAGTCTTTTGAGGCCTGCACTTACTTCTTATCGCAAGTGCCGGGCCCACGTTTGGTCTACGGGCCGGTGTCCTCTAAAAGGGCAGACGACAAACAGAAACGTTTGAAAGAGCAGACGACAGTTCGAACGATCAGGCGACCGTTTAAACTTGAAGACGCACTGAACGCAGTTCGCAGGTGGTCCGTACAACTTGACGGTTTTCCGGCATTCATTTTGGAACAAAACAAATAAATCTGATGGCCAGAAGTATCCGTGAATTCAACCCAAAATGCTTCCCGCCCAAGCAACTGACCTTCAAACCTTTCTCGACCCTTTTGGTACAGCCCCAGTCGCAGCATTTTGACAAGAAGGCAGGTTTTTGTCTGGTTGCTTTCAAAACAACGCAGGAATACACGTCTCAGATGGGCACTTCCGCCCACAGCCCCGGACTGGAAGTGCGTCCGACGCGCCACAACCGCGCCGTGACGTAACAGAAATGAGTTTGTGTATACACGAACTCAACTCTGCGACGTCACGGCGCGGTGGTGGCGCGTCAGGCAAACGTCCGGTCTGGGGCCGTGGGCAGAAGTCCCCATGCCAGACGTGCATTCCTGCATTATTTTGAAAGAAACTAGACACAAACATGCCTTCTCGTCAAAACGCCGTGACTGGGACTGTACCAAAAGTGTTGAGAAAGGTTTGAAGGTCAGTTTTCACGTGCTCGGTTCGCCCGAGAATCTGGATATGTGCTGTGAAAAGGGAAAAGCAGACGCCGTCGGACAACGATTGCTTGGGCGGTAGGCACTTTGGGTTGAATTTGCGGATGCTTGTGGTCATCAGATTTATTTGCTTTGTTCCAACATGAACGCCAGAAAACCGTCAAGTTGTGCGGACCATGTTCAGTGCGTCTTCAAGTTCAAACGGCTGCCTGATCGTTCGAACTGTCGTCTGCTCTTTCAAACGTTTCAAGCGTCGGTGTGAGTTCCCCTGCCCTTTTTCGCGTTCGAATTGTTGCCCTGGCAATCTCCGACCACTTGAGCGGAATCAGCGAAATTAGCGAGGCTCGTTACACCGCAAAACTTCGCGTAGTGGTGGTCCGCACAACTTGACGGTTCTCCGGCGTTATGTTGGAACAAAACAAATAAAGCTGATGACTACAAGTATCCGTGATTTCAACCCAAAGCGCTTCCCGTTCAAGCAATCATGGTCCGACGGCGTCTGGTTTTCTCTTTTCACGACACATATCCATGTTCTCGGACAAACCGAGCACGTGAAAACTGACCTTCAAACCCCTCTCGACTTTTTTGGTACATCCTCAGTTGCGTCATTTTGACTAGAAGGCAGGCTTTGTGTGGTTCCTTTCAATGCAGGAATACACGTCTCGCATGGGGTCTTCCGCCCACAGCCCATACCGGAAGTGCGCCCGACGCGCCACCACCACGCCGAGACATAACAGAGTTGTGTTTGTGTACATATAGGCTGGTTTCACATGATATACCTTCTGCTCAAACCCACGGTAGAATTCTTAGTTTGTGGGCCTTAGCCCTTTGCTTTCCTGCGGGCGGAAACAATGTTTTCCAACTTGCGCAATTTTTTTTTTTTTTTTTTTTTTTTTGCGTTGTGATTGGCTGCGCCAGTCAAAGAAGTCGGCAATGCAAAGGAGCGTCGGCTGGTACTCAATTTTCATACATATTGATATTTATTCGGAGCTTAGATGATCTGTTACTTGAGGAATTGGCTCACTAGTGGCCAAAATGGCCCCAGTCGGTGCTGCGGGGCCACCTTGATGGACAGAAAAGCGTAGTGAACAAAGGTATGTGAGGCCTAAGAGCGTCTTCGATGGTGCTTCTTGAGCTCTGCCGTCGGTAGAGATGCTGATTAGGTTTTGTGGGATTCACCAACACCGCAAAACTTCGCTCATAAACAAGCGCCTCCATGTAACGAATAGGGCAAATGGTAGATGCAGCCCGCGCCCCCCCCCCCCCCCCCCCCTCCCCCTGCACTCCGAAGTGCAATCGAAGGAAGTGAAATTTTGTTTTTTGACACCACCTTATATCAAACAATGCGAGACGCTGTTGATGATTCACTTTTTGGTTGCGGGCCAAGGACCTGCACGTTCAGTATTAGTAAACATGTTTCGTTACTCATAACAATGTTATCTCCATGCTCATGCATAAGATATGGCTAATTTGTACCAATGAAAACAAAAATACGTACTTGGCTAAGGCACGCTGTTCTGGCTTGGTTCTGACCAACAGGTTCTTCTTGAGCCACTGGTGCATCCAGCGATGACTCATATGTTGGTGCTTTGGAGTCGTCATCCCATGTAGTGACCACTGGCAAGCTACTGCTCTTCGACACTGTGCTGCTGCTGCTGTGGTCACCGCTCTGTGAAACCAATCGGTCAATATTTATTGTCTTTGATTTGTTCATAACACACCCTATAGCCCAGTTTAAGTGTAAGGGCCGCGCGAAAGTTATAAAATAATGAATGAATAAACATTATCGTAGGGATGGGTTCCAGCACCCCCAGGTGAAGCCCAAAGTCCGGGGCCTCAAAAATGGCGGCCACCAATTTGGCACGGTCCACCTGCTATTGCTGGCCAGTGGCCGCGTCATCGGTCTGCCGCTCCTCCCAGGAGGTGGGGGAGGGGTTGGGAAGAGGCGAGACAGAGGGAATGTCCTGGCATTACCAGACCACGTGGAGAAGTGTGGGAAAAGAGTTGATGTCATAGAACGCCCTGTCTGCGAGTAAGAGAAGGCTGAGGAGAATAATGTTGTTCAGTTGGTCGGATGGTGGCAACCCCATATCTTCCCCATATTCCCGGTGTGAGAGTTCTCGGGCGAGTACACAAGCACACTCATTACCAGGGACAGCTGTGTGTTCAGGGACGGCTGCGTGCCCAAACACACAGCCCAGGCACCCGCACCCAGACTAACGGGAAAGTGTGGGAGGTGGAGTATAGGAAGGAGTCGAGTAGGGACACAGTGGATAGATGCAAGGTGGTGAGAAGGAAGTGCCGGCAGGCCGTCTGGGAGTCAGCCAGAATGTTAGTGGGGAGGAAGAGGAGAGAGTGGAGGTGGAAAGAATTGCCCTGTGCTAAAATGACGATGTGCAACAAGTGTCAACATAAATACCAATTGGATGCCTATATTAGAATATCTTGGTCGCCAAACAAACGAACAGTTTTCTAGTCTAACTTGCAATAATGATCGGATATATTGTTCAGATTACTGGTTTTGAAAACAACTTGTTTGCTCTTAAATGTACTTTCTACTGGTAACAGCATAGATAATTGAAATATATTAATATTATAGTACATAACGGCGGTGTTCAGAGTTACGGTTCCCAATTTCAGGTTCGGTTCAGTCCTGGGTAAAGTTCGTACAGCCGTTTGAGCGTTTGCAAGAGCACGCCAGCCCGCGCGCGGACACGCGCACTCACTTCTACTGATATATAGCACAAAACGTTCGCGTGCGTTCACGTGCGACGTGCTCGTGAATGTCGCCTCAACAGGCTTGCAATCGCACGTGCTCGCCCGCACGAACAGAGACAAAAGCATCGGCCAGCGCGACGTGAGCGAGGAATATACGTACCCCGGTCCGACGACGCTTCACGCATGATTCGTCTGCTGTTTGGGGAGGCGAGGATCGAGGAACGAGGTACGACGACACGGCGTCCGGCGTCAGTCCGTCGGCTGTTACGGAAGGCGAGGATCCAGGATCGAGGATCGACGGCACGGCGTTTTGATCCAGACGCGCGTACTTGGTTGAAAACCCAGCGTCGCAGAACAAGCGCAGATCTCGCTGGTAGCATTCGGGCAAAAAGTGGTCAGAACAGATCAATGTCCTGCTATTTGGCGACCACGGCTTCTCGGAGTTCCAACGGCGCACGATGTCTGTCCAAACAATGAGACGCGCACTGTCGCGAGGGAACTTGTGAAAAACAACTCCCGGGCTGGTCGACTGATAGTTCAAGCAGGCAGCAACACAACATCGTGAGCCTATGGCCCTTCTGCGAGGCATCGCAGCTAGGCTTCGGGGATGCTGCCCGCGCTCGAACCGTAACAAAACCACAAAACGCCGTCCTCCTACTGCTCCTACTGCAGCAGAGGCGAAACGAGGAAACGAGTGCGTCTGCTCCCAACTTGGCGCATGCGTTTTACGGTGATCATGTGGACAGAGCCAACACGCAACGCCGGGAGGAGCCACTTCCACTCACGACGTCTTCGTTCAATTTCGCCCGGAGAAGTAAAAACAACCAAAACATAGAACTGACATACGCATGCCTCTGACGTAGGTGCTCACTGTTGGCTGCGCCAGATCCGTGGTATTGACAGCGCTGTTGATTGCTCTTCACGTCGCGCGCTAGAGTTAGCAGATTTCGGCGACTTGGCTCGTTTGAAAGTTTGCTGGCCAGATTAATAAATATTTAGACGGAATTACATCGCGAAACTTGGCATGTGGTCTTCCTATATGATGCTGAAGAGGGCTACATAGTTTTCTCAATATCAAAAATGAAGCGGAGTTGCCCTTTAAAGTGCGGCTCGCAGCTCCCCTCTCTACCGCCTCTCCCTCCCCCCCTCTCCCCCCTCCCCACTTCGCTTCTCTCCCGGTCACACGAGCACTTTCCCAAAACTAGAAATGGAACGCGTTTCAAATCGAAAAAACAGGTTGAGGTTTGGTAGTATTGTGCTGCTGCTACCTTATCTGCAGTTGGACTGCTTTTCACTCAGATGCATTGAAAGTAGTTCGAGTTTCGTTTATTGCTCTTAGAAGTTTGGTGGATTTGTTTGCGGCTTTTAGGCCGGGTCAGTCTGGCCACCCCTGCTCTAGGGTGAAACTGAATTGTATCCTCACCATCACGCGCTTCTCTTTTTCTGTACTCGTGGCATTCGCAACACCTTTTTTTTACAAAGGTACAATTTTGCTGTCGTGCCCCTTTAATTACATAATTTGCAATGTACGAGATTAGCGCAAAGGTACTTGACCTTACGGCTTTTTACGCGCCCTGGAATGAAGGTAATAAACCTCCCCAGTCCAGTATGTACCACCGACCCGAACCTAATAAAATTAGATTTTTTTAGTACTGCATGCACACCTTATATGTTTTATGATCTCGCCGAACGCCAAAAATTATAGGAAAACATTTCGCCGTCATCACAGCTCCCATAAATGAGAGGCCGCTTAGAAACCGCGGCGAAGCCCAGAACCGCTCTACGTTGTAGATAGCTCTTCCAAAGGAAACAAATACAACGAAAGATATGCAAAAATAACACAATTGCTTTCATATATTGAGTCCCATAAATTACTTCGCTGTTTTGAAAACTTAAAGTGCATCTCTTTTTTTCTCTGGTTTCTTGTGGTTTCTGGTTCCATCTTCTTTCGCGCAATAAGCACACATTTTACTCTTGTTGGCTTAAGGCGCTGTTACATTTGTTTTATAAGATTTTTCTCTTACTCTTCTACCTATATTTGCTTATAACTCCCAACTTAACTACAACATTTTCTGTGCACCGTTATAAACACCTATATTTGTTCGAACTAGCCGGTGCTAAGCAAATTTTGTCGCACTTTCACAAGCAGTTTTTTGTTTGTTTTGTAAGCAACATTCTACTAAACAACACTCTGAAATATGAATTAAAGATCTCATGTCGGTTAGGGGATATAGAATATTCAATATTTGTTCTACCTCTTCATTGAGCACGGCGTAAAGCCCAAACCTTGGTGTGACACGTCCCCATATTTAATATATATAGATATATAAGTTTTTTGTTTTTTTGTATTGCAATTCCTAGAAAACCTCGCATGCCGTAATCACAAAAGTTTAGTACAAGGGGTACTCCAATATAAAAAAAAAAAATCTATATTTTACAAAATCGTGTATTTATTCTTAAACGTTAAGATTTTAATGTACCTTTCAAATGACTCTCTGCCTGATGCACTACACTTGTCGACACATTTCTTCCAATACTAAAGACAGCCTTGAAATGTGTCGACGTTGATGGCTTTCAATGTGTCAACACTTTTTTTATTTCACCTCTTCCACAGCGGCAAGTCGTTTCCCGGTGAGATTTTTTTTTCGTCCGGGCAGACAAAATAAAGGCAACACGTGGAGAGGTTGTATAAAAATAGCGTTAGGTACGTGAGTCATGCAGTTTTTGGTCAAAAACTGCTAAACGCTCAGCGCGGAGTGGGTAAGCGCGTTTTCACGGTTAATAATCTATTTTCCTACAACGCGGGACGTTTCTTTTGTAAATCGCAGATAAAATCTTGGTTTACCGTTTTACCCGTAGGAGCACATTTCGAGTCCACCATCTTTCTGACGTCAAAGAAAGAGATGATCATTGTTGTCGCCGCACACTATTCTATCTTTATTTCGATAACTCTCTCTCGCGCGCGCTCTCTCTCTCTCTCTCTTTCTCTCTCTCTCTTTCTATATATATATATATATATGTATATATCTTTTCGTCTCCTTTGTAATGATAAACAAAATGGCTAAAAACATTCGAGCCTTATGAAGTCTGACGGAAAGCAGTTCTATGCCGCCCGGTTTGGTTGAATCCCCTGTGCGATGTTGGACTTGAAGCAATTCCGCACTCTTTTTCTGGTGTTACCTCAGATACTTCACAGGCAATATTAAACATATAATTGAAGTGGCATAGACAAACGACACTAAAGAATAGGAAGGCAATACACTTTTTGGGATGATACTTCAGTTTTTGTTTCCTTTTTCTTGTGTACGAGAAAGTTCAATTTGAAATAGTTCACGTAGTGATAAGTTTTGAAAGTATTTATGTACAAATAAACTTCAAGCAGAAACCGCGAAGTAAAAAAAAAGTAACCCAAAAAGATGGCTAATAATTATTGTAGCTTATTGCCGCTTTCAGACTAACCCGGAAACTGTATTCGCGATGGATTACGAGAGTTTGCCAGAGGAAATAAAATGTTTTTTTCCGCACTATTTTGTGAGTTCAGATGATATTCAAGGAACCTGTACTATACTTGAAAAGACAAGGAATGTATAAAATAGGCAAAAAGTCTTTCTTCCGGCAGTTAAATATTATTTATAACTGCTTTAGGGAACTGTATACTGGGTAATGTTCTATTTGCTTGAATTTAAACGTTATTTTCGTCATTATTCGTGACTGCCAATATTTGTTGTTTATGATAATTGTATAATCATGTCTTCCCTGTGTCTCACAAACTGAAATAAAATATCTTTCTATCTTTATAGTGCCAAACTGCTAAGGGACCTCCGATCATATATAGCGCCTGATGGACCCTTCTATGCCCAACGAGGTTGTTTCTGCGCTGGCCCGTTCGTGACCGTACTGCCTCTACTTTGTTCCGGTCCCAC